TAAAAAAATTCTTTAACCCCTTCCTTCTCGCTCCCGTGAAAATGACGGGGTGAGTTTTCGCTTGCTATTTCTCGTTCCCGTGATATTGACGGGCTGGAGTGGTCAGTAGTAATGCGCCAATAAGAATAAAACTAATTCATTTCTTTTGCCCGGAAAACATTTTATTTCTCATTTTACACACCATATAGCAGTACCAGGATATTTTTAAGGTAATTGAAAATAGTTAGTTTATTTTAAACTAGATACTAGCACTAATCAAATACGTGTATTTGGCAAAATAGACACTTTTATGACCGTTTTCTTGAAAATTTGCCGATCGTTAAGGGGTTAAAGAAATAAATCTCTTAAGGAAAAAAAATTACATAATTTTTATACGTTGACATTCCAGGCTAATATAAAAACAAATCTCATACAATCGTTATGCTTGCTCATAAAGGAAATTTGCGCCAGTGTATGAAAATTTTCATACGCAAGTTCTGGTATAAAAGCTTCGTACTCACGCATGATAAATGGCGCAATAATAATAAAAATATATGCGGTTAAGTGTTTGGGACAGACGTGATGTGATTTTTAAAGAAAAAAACTGTAATTCACTACTAACTAATAACTTTTTTGGTTAGCTGTAATTTAAGAGAAAAGATTGTGAAATAAAAACAGCAATAACACAAAATTTGTACGGTCAAATAGAAGTAATTAAGGAAGTATTTCAAACCTCAAGTATTGATTTCAAAAGAAAAAAAATCTTCTCTCATTTTCTACATTTGCTGGTAAAAAACATTATCTAAGCTGAAACCACTTGAAATTAGTGAGAGTTGTTTATCACTATTTTTTTTTCATTAATTTCAAAATATTAAGAAAAGAAAGGGATATTTTTGTGTTTCCTACTTACATTATTTTTAATATATAATTTCTTAGTGTTAACCAATTGTTAAAGGATTACGAAAATGTTTCAGAACTAAATTATTCGCAAAGCGTTAGGCGTACCAAAGATAATTTGATGCAAAAAATAACTTTTAATAGATATTTAGTATTTTATTTAGTAAGAGTTAAAAAAAATTTAATTGTAAGATAAATAATATTTAACATTTTTAATAATTTATTCGATTACATTCTTTTTTTTTAATTTGATTTCTCAGGAACTGTTTGACCGATTTCGCTCAAATTCTGTATTTTGGCACGTAAAATTACATATTTTAAAATGATGTGAAAAATTGTACGTCTTACATCTCCAATTTTTTTCGACAATATTAAATAAAATAATAAAAAAATAATATTTATCTACTAAAAGTAAATTTTTGCATGAAACTATCTTTGCGTAAACAAATTTTGTAATGGCGTTGAAAAATTTTCAATTCGCTTAAAAATTTCTCGAGCTAGGGCGAAATGCTAAAACAATAAAAGAGGTCCAACGTTTAGATCGCCTGTACTGACGAAACAATTGGGGCTATATTTCCCAGATTGCGACTATCTCATATATTTTGAGGACCAGAAATCCGAACCCAACGAAAAAAAGGTATATTTATTCCGAGAAAGTATTTTTGTATGTCTGATTTCATACCTGAAATTATCGTCTGCTCGAATTAATTAGCATATTTAAGATTATTATTATTATTGATGATATTATTATTAATGCCTACAACCTAGAAACATTATTCAAGATAATTCGTTTTTTTTTTTTTTTTTGCTTTGCGCAAGTATAAGTCGAGAATAATAAAATATTCCGATGATATGTTGTAAAAAAAAATTTTTTTTGGTCCGAAATGTTCCGAAGAACAACAAATCTAAATTTCTAGAACATCTGTTGAGGCATATATCTTTAAAGTATACAAAGTTACACAGTGTAAAGTTGTTTTTTTTAAACTTGCAGTAAGTTTTCATTTAATTTATAATTCTGATTAGTATGTAAACACAAAGATTACTTGTGTAAAACAAAACAATGCCACGACAATAATAATAGCAATACCAAAACAGAAGTTCGAAAAAATAAAAGTGGGAGAATTATAATCGAATGCATGGATAAGGACTTCTTGTTCCAGCTATAACGTTACATTTAAAAACCAATCAAGGTATAAAATTGATTTAAGCACATATTAAGAAGAAAAAAACTTTAAGCAAAAAACTTTAAAATAATGAGTTAAAATGGAAAAGCGCTAAAAGCAGTTAAACCAAAATTTGTCTTACGTAAACAATTTTTCGTTTTTGCTTGTTTTTTGGTTTCTAACTTTTTATTTAAATTGGTTACGTATAAAAAGTCATGACAAAAGGATTTAAAATTAAAAAATCATTGCTTTATTCTACAAAGGCTTTGGAAAATCAGAATTTTCAACCAGATACTAATTCAAAGATATAAAATTGCATCACAGTTTTTTTTCCTTTTTCAAGCATAATAAAACAACGAAAGTGCGAAATCCTTTTTCCTCTATAAATTCTTAATTTCTATGTCAAAAAGCAATGTTACCAATTGTTTTTTTCAATACAGCAAGTTATTCACAACAACTGTTATAAAGCAGTTGTTGTGAATTAAAATGTTAATGTGCATAAAATTCATAATATATAACTATATAATACCAGGAAAAGAACTTAAAATCATGTATGAACTAAACTACATATTACATAAAATACTACTATAATTTAGAAAATATTTTTATTTCTATAGAAAATTGCATCCTGAATAAAGCTTAGGAATTCTGAGCATTATGAAGACGGATTGTCTTCTTAATACTACTACTTTTTCGAGGCACGCCTAAGCTTGGCCCCAGGAGATCTTAAACATTCTATCACCAAATTACATTTTAACATTCTACAATGCGCCTATGTCAATACTTTTGGGAATGCATTGGATTTGATGGTATCATCCGATAATCGTGGGAAATCGAAACGTTTAAAACACATTTGTGTTCATGTTTTCCTAGCATTTTTCGACCTTTTTTGAAAAACTCTTTTAGACCTCGCCTATTTATTTAAATGCCAAATTTTTAGAGTAAATAGGAATTCCAAATGTATGCAAAGATTATTAAATACTTTAGAATATGTTTAAAAAGCATGAAAAAAGTCTTTGTTTCCTTAAGCTATCCCTTGATTTGATTTGATTTTACAACCATCGTTGAACAGCAGACCCACTTTTTTGTGTTCACGACTGCTAACATTCAACTCCGTAGGCCTGTAATTAATTTTGAACCCAATCCAGAAGACAAGGAAACTCAGAGATCAAGTATTGGGAGAGATTTACCTTCGTGGAGGACTTTTCGATGGAACTAACCCGCATTTGAGCTACATGGAGAGGAAAACCACGAAAACTTTTAACCTGTTAACCACGAAAACTAGAAGACAAGGGAACCAGAGAAAATCACTTCACTATAGTAAATTGATACTATCATGATTTCGCCACGAACAACAGCATCATACAATATGATAATGAATCCCGTACAGAGAACGGGTATTTAGCTAGTTGCAAATAAAACCACATTGATTTTTGCTATTCACAATTAAAGCATGGAATCAGAAATTAAAATTCATCAAAAATAAATCATACATACGTCTTTATGCTTGTTTGTTAATAAATTAATAAAATGTAACAATGTAACACATATAATAACTTATACTTATTTATTTCTTACTTTTTTTGTTTTATTTTTTTGTAAATATTTCCTAGTTGAATTTGTGGAAAACTTCAAATTTTGAATTGATAAGGGCGATAATTTTCATTTATTTTATGTCTACGTCTAATGTCTATTTTTTTAACGTGAATATCCCGTGGATAAGCTTCAAAACGAATATCGTAAATACCAAAAAATATGCCTCTTTTATTATTTTTAAGTACACATATTTCAATAATCTGTATTTTATTAATTGTAGTTTGAATGAAACAAAAAGATTAAAATTTTACACACAGTTAAATTTGAAACATTATTCAATATAATGTAACCATTCGTTGTCAATAGGAAAACAAAAGGCCAAAAATTGGATAACTCCTTCACTGGAATAATCCAGATTATATACTTGAAATTCATTTATCGTGGTATTGCTGTACAACATAATTACATTTTATAGGTTATTTAAGTTTTAAGAAGAAAATTCAGACTTTTTTTCGAGGTTAAATTAAACTATAATTATGTGCTCAGGCAATTCGAATAAATCTACAAAACTTATGTTCTTGCTAGTGGTATAACTGCACAGAATGCAAAAGTTACATTAAAAAATTTTACTATTTGACTTCAACTAACCTAATTACTTATCGAATAATTTCAAACTTTCAACCCTTCGACTAAAATTTTTGATGGGGAAAAATTTCCACCAGGATAAGTTTTCGATAACCAACGTTGCGTTTACACTTAAGTTGTTCATTGCATGAAATCGATGTTTACGTTCAATTGACGGTAAACAAAATTTCCTAATGGTTTATTTATTCTCATTCTAAAACTAGTTATAAGACATTGAGAAAGTCAAATATAAATACTTTACCAAATGTTTCGGGACAAAAAACGTAGAAATACAGTCTTCATTCATATACTATTATTAGATGAAGTTTCTACAATAAAATAAACTGCTTTCCGAACCAACTTTTCAGTATTCTTTTTCGAAAAAAAAATAAACAAATAATAAAAAAATTAAAAATTTGTACTGATTAGAAAAGCTAAGATATTAAAATTTTGTGTAACTCTAATATTTTTATTTACTCAAATTTATTTAACAAAAAAAAGATCACAAGAAATAAGCTAATGAGAATGATTCTTAATACTTTCGTAGAAAAGTGTAATTCCTTTTTTTTTTTTAAAGGAGAGAGAAAAGAATTATCTAAGAAATAAAGCTGTTCTTCAAAAGGAAGTTTAACTATTTTACTGAAGATAAATAAATTATGTATAACAAAGGAAACTTCGAAATAAAAAAAGTAGTTAAAGAGAATGGCATCATTTTTAATATCCCACCTTATACAAATCTTACTTAAATTTCTGTAAAATGAAAATAAGTTTAGAGCAACAATATGAGAAATAAAAGGATACGCAATAAAATACCTGCGCAATTTTTCAAAATTTTCTATTGAATCAGGAATGCTAAGCTTTACCCCAGAGAATATGTTAGACAACGTCTGAAAAAAAAGATAAATTGAAACATGAGTTATGGGTTATATCAACAACAATATATATAAAAAAAGAAATGGTATAGACAAGATAAAAAAAATGGTGTAGTTTAAACACAAAGAATAAATTTAACTACAAGTATTATTATTGACATCAACTAAAGCAACGGAAGAAGTATAATAAAAATACATGAAGTACATCGAATTAAAATTTAACTGAGGAATTTTCAAAAAGCAAACATCTAGGTTAAATATTATAAAGGTTAACACATTCCTTTAAATAGAAGAAATAGAATAGGGAAAATTAAAATTCTTATTGTAACCTGCCCTACCCTAGAAAAATAATGACAAATATACATAATACACACCATAGGCTAATTTTATTTCATACTATAACAGCCTACCACCATTACCATTTTGGGTTTACGACTACAAATATTCAACTCTGAAACCTTGTAATTTTGAGCCAAACCCAGAAGAAAACGAAGCTCCTGGATCAAGAATTGGAACAAAGCCTTCATGAAGGATTTTTTGATGTAACAAGTCCGCATTTGCGTACACGGACAAGAAAGCAAGTTATTAAGCTCTCCCACGGTTAGCCTAACAGCAAGAAGATCCTAACAAATTATGCGTCGACCACTGAGGATATTTTACGTCAGCACTGTGGTCGGTGCGAGTCGGGAATAGAAATCGTATCTGCCAGTCATCGTTGGAATTCGAACCTGGGGCACCTCAATGGGAGGCGAAGGTTCCTTACGATGAGCCCACAACAGTTCATCGTAGGCTAATTGTATTTTAATCTATAACCGGCGGAGAACAGCCGACCTGATTCTGAGTTTACGACTATCACTGTTAATTCCATAGCCTTGTAATTTTGAACCTAGCTCAGAAGACAAGGGAACACCTAGAACAAGCATTAGGACAAACTAGCCGTCGTAGAAGACTTTTTTTGATGGAAAAAACCCCCGTTTGCGTTACACGGAGAGGAAAACCATGAAAACCTCCCAGGGTTAGATAGAGAAGAAGGGGATTCTAATCCATGATCCATATTGAATAATCCGCTAATTATATAATCCGGCTCTTCGCAACAACTGCCGTCATTATGAAACATGCCAGGCTGATTGGAAAAATCTCCAGTAATAGCCTAAACTTCTTAAGGCTAATTGGAGTGAACCCACGTGCCTTTAGGGTAATTAGAAAATATAGTATTTATTGTCTCACATAGACTGATTAATTTTAAGCAGTTTATAAAAATAAACCCAGAGTAGTTATTCAGTCTCGTTGTGTAATTCTTAGCACACTTGCTAATTAGCCTAAATTAAGAAGCATAAAAAATAAACATATCAGGCAGATTAAAAATACTGAAGAACTTTCTAATTAGCCAGACACAGTGTAGATAAATGTGTATTTACCCATATAAAGATAGTAAAATAAGTATAGTACACTAAATATTTTCTTTTACAGCTGATTTTTTCAAATAAACTAAACATTTTAAAAAACATTACAAAAGGAAAAAGCAATTGCTTATCAATCGTTTTGACGAAGTTATATTCGAGACATTCCTTAAGAAAAACTTAATTTAACTAAACATAAAATACAATTTAGAATTTCTAACAGTGCTATTGAATGAACATTAAATCTGGACTTAATGGAAGACACTACAGATGAATGAGAATAATTTTTTTTTCCGGGAAAAAACGTTTCGAGGAAAAGAAACTATATTGATTGAGTTGAACAAAAAGAAAACTTTCAATAAATCTCATTTCAGAATTTATAATCAATTTTAACCATTGAAAGTCATCAAAGTAAGCTATGCATAATTCAGTCGAAATTTCACGAATTAAAAGAGAATAAAAGTACCAATGTTCTGAGAACACAAGATTTAAGATTGTGATCGATCGTCCAGGAGTAAAAGTTTACAAAGCTTCTTTCGACCTCAATAAGGGCTCTAAAGGCTCAAAGCTGAAGTTTTCAAATGCAAATGACTTAAGTTTGATGATATGTAAAATAGGAAAGAGACTTTATTCTGAATAGAACGAAACACATTGCAATAAAACTTTCCAATGCAAATAATTCAAGAGTAGAAATTTAAAAAATATATTTTAATAAGCTGGAAAATTAGTTTATAGCACACTTAGCTCAAAAGATATTGAAATATAATTTTGAAACATCGCTTTGCATCTAATTTTATAAAATTATAAAATCGATAAAAGCAAAATCTGACAATATTTAAAAGTTTTACTTTTATAAAAATTTAATCTTAAAAAAATAATTAAATAAAAGGTAATTTTGCATTTTTAACCCAATTTTAATTATTTTTTTAAATTCGTTATAATTTTCGAACCTGATATTTTTATGACATACAAAATGTCTTACTTAAAATAATTTTTTTTCTTGATCCTTTAAGTTTTTTACACTTTATTATAATATTAACCCCTTTACTCGGCGCTACTCGAGTAAAAAACAATTTTAATCATAGTTAAATGGTCTATATGATCCTGAATTTCTGATCTCTGAATCTGAGTTTGAAATTCTGAAATTCCTGTAAACAAATACTAGTTTCGTGAAGAAAGTAATACAGAGATCTCATTTAAGCCTTGAATAAGCTTTCCCAATGGACTAGTCTTTAGTACATAGTTCAACGTCTTTTCTCGATACTAAATCGTGGTAGTCAAGATTTACCTCAATAATTGTAAACTTCGATAAAAATTATTAATGGCACTAGTATTTTCATAACCCTTTTTTATTCACTAATATCGCGGTATTGTTCACGTACAGCGTTACTCTTACGCATCCGGTGCTTTTACATCTGTTAGGAATAAATTTGCTAAATTGGCAGTTAAAACACAACTTCCTTTTGTATTATTCAACCAGTGAAAGTCAAGATTTAACACAATCAAAATTTTTTCGCTAAATTTGAGCTAAGTGCACAGATTAAACTATTTATTTTATTAATTTCATTCTGCTATATACATTTCATATTTATAGAAATACTTTTTAGAAGTGCAACTACAAAGAAATTAAACATGTGGTTTAAAACAGCTTTCAAATTCTAATTCGGTGACTTTCAGATCCTTTTCATACGTTACAAAATTGTCCTGTTTTGTAACGTTGTTGGATATTTTACTGTTGTTGGATATTTTACTTAATTTAACCAAATTTGGGAAACAAAAAATGAAGGAATAATGAATACGAACTATAAACTCCAAACGTGGTGAAAGTGGTACAGACTTTCAAGAAAAAGCCTAATTTAGAAAACGGTGTAAGAAAAGTATTTACAAAAGGTCAAATGCAAGCTTGAATGAAAGGTGCTTCAAATGTCAAGTAGACAACACAGAACTTTTCCCGACGTACTCATATACGTTCTCTTCCTTCAAAAGTGTATAATTTCAGAAAATTTATAATTAGTGTTTACCTCTATTAAGAGCTAGAGCGTAAAAGCGGTAGTGAGCAAAATTATCTTGTTCTCCATGATTGTCTTGCTTTACTTTACTTGATTATCGGTTCTTTTAAAAAAAATTCATTACAAAAATTCATTACGAGAATGTCTCATTACAAAAAGGTCATCCAAAACTTAAAGGCCAAATCAGTGGTCCTGGCAGATTTAATGATCATCCAAGTCCTTTCAAAGTTATTAAATGATTTAAACTCTAGCTAATTGCAAATAAGCTACCTGATCTTTCGTCAAAAGTAGGTACTGAGTAAAAAAAATCAGAGATAGGTCATTTAACGGCTGAACTGTTAGAAATTTTTTTTTAAAAAATAACACAAAAAATGCAGTTTCTGCTAATCATGGAATTGTAAATGACTCTGTAAACAATGAAAATATAATGCAATTTGTAAATAACTCTATTCCAATGTCTTAGGATATTGACCGTAATTCAGAAAATAAAATTGATTCTCAAGAAAAGAAGGACTAAATTATATAGCTGATGGTTACATTGCATTTTGACGTAAAAATATTGATCCAAGCTTAGGAATTCCTTCTTCACAACAACACGAAATGGATAAATCTATTATCTAAGGGAGGATTAATTGTTCCGTTCGTAGCATGGATGGAAGTGCGTCAAGAATTTGAAAACATTTTGCGGAGTGAGCAAGGATATTTTAGAGAAAATCAATGACGGAGCAAACGACTATTCAGTCATTTAAGAACTTCTATTAGAATTAGTCATCTAAAAAAATAAAAAAAAACGTCGCGCAACTTAAAAAAGAAAAGCAGAAGAAAAAATGGATGAAGTAAAAAAAAAAAAAATCCTGAATTTCAAAAGCAAAAGTTATTAAGGGTTAAATATTCTCCGAGATTCATAATCTATTTTTAATATAATTATTCTAAATATTTATGTTTTCTTAATCATATAGTCTTAAGTTTAAATATCTCGAAGCAAATGTAAAATTTCTATTATTATAGATCCAAATGCTTATTTTATATCAGTAATTAGAATTTAGGATTGTTGTTTCCTAAAGATTAGGTTAAAAAAAATATTATTAAGAAAATCAATTTTCAAAATTTGGCCCTACTTTACAAACTATTTCTATCAAACAATATGTAACTATAAAAGTGTCTGTATATGCTTTCCTTTTTTTAACAATAAAAATTAAAATCAAAAATTATAAAACGATAGCAAAATATTTATAGAGTAATTTATGACGACCATTTAGATATTTCATGTTTTTTTTAAGTTTAAAATACTAATTTTTTACATTATAAGGATGAAGCACACCACGAAAATGTTTGGGTAGTATATTTTTGAACAAATATAATTTGTTAGTTACGTGAAATAGAAAGCTAAAATTAGTAGTGTCGAACATTCAACTCATAGGGGGGTAAGATAATAAGTTTTCAGAAAAATGAACGCCCGTCAGAAGTTTTTAAACATATGTACATTGCGCAAAATAAAAAAACAGAACACACTATATAACTTTTGATCCATTGATTGGATTTTCTCGTACCTGGACTCAATCTTAATTGTTAAAGGGCGTGGTGATAAATATACAATTAACTATTG